TACATCGCATAATCATGGATAGGAAATGAAACAATAATTATGGTTCAAGAGCATGCCTGTATATTTATATAATTGTCCAACACCAATCTACTACTATTATTATCTTTGGTTTTTCGTCTTTGGTCGTTTTCCATGCGATGTTTTCGCAATTGCTGACATCTACATTTTCGCTCACAGGTTCATTGGTTAATTGCTTATTAAATTAGCAGATTACAGGTGGTGTTCTCTATTTTTCCTTTGTTTTGAATAACGGAGCCAATCGGCTACCACTAATTCAAACTCTCTGTCGGTCACCATAGGAAATTCTTTCCTCAATGCTTCTAGAAAAGAGTACAAATTTCCAATTTTAACCATATACTTAAATTAAAATACAGTGTTCCAGCTGAGAGTGGCCTAATTCAAATGCTGATAGATTTTAAGCCAGGTATTCGGCTTCTAGAAAGGATAATTTTCTGAAAACCCTGTTTAAAGTCCCTTGGAACGTGACCAATGATGCTTTCCAACAATGACAAATATAAAACAGGACCTTAACGTCCATAACCTAACCTAGCTTGTATAACTGAACTGAACTGAACTGTAAAATACAAAATTATCAACCCCTCATTTCATATTACAGTAGTAATAATTGCCATTTCATAAAAAGTGGCACTTACCTTTTTAACTTCTTCTGCTGGGGAGCTCATTTTAACTCGAAACAACGGATCACTACGAAAAATATGCAATAAAATTGCAAGTCATGCCATTTGACAAGTTAGGATTATTTTAGGTTAGGGTACTTAGGGTAGCGTTCACAGACACTCGATCGGTAACTTTCAATGTTTCTATCTTTGTTTGAAGCGTGAAAAGAGCTGAGACGGAAATCGGTGCCCCTGCCCGACTTGAATAGCGAACGCAGCCCGCGACTCAAGGATATTAGAACAGAAGGCAATCCATTCAATGACCGCGGGGAGTAGACAAACAGCTGTGTGATCTAGAAAACATGCAAAATGCAAAGTAGTTATTTGATAAAACTTTTGGTGGAATCCCTGACGTTAGCCAGAATCTGGCATGCAATATAATGTTCTAAAAATTGTTGGATTGCCTAATTGGATTGATTTCGGTTTTCTTTCGGTTATAATACCTACTACACTACCTAAATGAAACTGTCAATTGTTGTCAAGCCGATGATAAAATTATATTGTTTAGTAGAGTAGATTGATTTAGTGCCGGTACTTTTGCTCTCATTTGACAGCCGTTAAAAATAATCAGGGGTTAGAATGTGCTCTAACCACATCATACTTATAGACCTTGGCCCATGCAAAACTTTGACAACGTATCAAATTCGTTAATCGAGAGCAAAAGTATCGGCCCTTAAATTATCAGAAAATACTATTATATTTTTATCAATGATTATGAACATAACAGTGACATTATATGATTCAGAAAATGTCACAAAAGAATGACTATGAACATGATAGTGACATCTTAGCAATGTGCTTCTAATATTTATTGTGGCTCTAAGAAAATATGTTAGCAATATTGAATTCAGGTGTTCATGTAATATTCGGAAGATTGTTGAGATTTGAAATATTATATCAATATGATTTCAAAAACATCACAAAAGTTACTTGAAAAAAATGTTACGTGATGTTTTTGTGATATAACATGTTTGGCGGGCAGGAGGAGACATTGGCGCTTGTTTGTCTGCTCTGGACGGTGTAATAAATCATATTGGCCAGGAAAGGAATATCATTCTGGTAGGAGACTTCAATGTTCTGTTTGGCTCGGCACGGGGTGAATCGTCTGCACTACTTGATCTTGTGGGGTCGTACGGTTTTGAACAGACGATCTTTGAGGCAACGCGTGGGGAGTCCTGCCTGGACAATGTTTTTTTGAACTTTGCATCTGAGCCATTTTCGGCTGGGACTTTGAATCTGCATCTTTCAGATCATCTGGGTCAAACTCTTAGGTTTAACTTTATGGAACACAATAAAATACTGTTTGAAAAAAGGGGTTTTCGACCCATTAAACAGAGGGGCTTGAACAAGTTTTATAGTTTGATTGGAGATCTTTCCTGGGATTTTGTGGATAATGAGGATATTAGGTCTTCAGAAGAAATTCAGCATCTTGATGGAGTCTATGGGGGACGCATACCAGCATTCCTTCTCAGAAAAGAAATTTTATGTGAGATCGGATCAGGCCAGCAGGGTCACTTGGTTTGATGATAATCTAAGGGGTATGCGAGAATATTTACATCGGCTGTATGATATAGGTAAGCCGCACGACCGAGTGAGTGATTGAGAAATTTATAAGGAATTAAAAAAAAAAAAAAAAAAACTATAGGGGTGCTATCAGGGGCAGGCAAAAAGATTGGCAAATGATAGAGCAATAGACTCTTCAAGTAACCAAATTAAATGTATGTGGCAAATTATAAATACAAAAAGAGGTAACGTAAATAAGATAAAAAACAGCGACTGCCATATGCCGGCGCCGTAAGAATTTGGCAATTTCTTTGCTGATGTAGCAGGAAGTCTAATGAGGGACATGCCTCAGGGAACTGGATATCCTCTCTTGCATCTCAGCGGAGTGAGGGCTCCATTTCATCAATTTAATTATCAAGAGATGACCTATATGAAGATGAGGGATACAATAACACAAAAAACAAAAAAAGTGCAGATATCTATGGTTTAACAGTTGAGATTATAAAGTCAGTGAATAACTTAATTTATATTCTACTCACCAAATTTTTCAATCAATGTATTCGTGAGTGCGTCTTCCCGACGGTTCTAAAGAGAGCATTAATAACGCCAGTATATAAAAAGGGAGATAAATCGCTGGTCGCAAATTACAGGCCGATCTCTTTGCTCACTGTTATATCTAAAGCTTTGAAAGGATCATGGCGACACAGATAGTGGATCAGTTTGAGACCCATGGGCTTTTTAGCGATCCACAATTTGGATTTAGACAGAAAAGCAGCACGACCCGAGGAATATTGAACCTTCTGGAGGAGATAAGGGACTCATTTTAGGGTATGGAGTACTTTGATGCCTTGTTCTGTGACCTCAGCAAGGCTTTTGATTGCGTCACACATTCCCTTCTATTAAAAAAATTAAAATTCTAGAACAGTGAAAATAGTATTGAGTTGACTCGGTCTTACCTTGCTGAGCGTTACCAGGCGGTGAGGGTGAATGGTGTGTGACCTCTGTGGAATCACTTCTGGATCTTGGAGTACCTACCGCAGGGATCGGTCCTTGGTCCGATTCTTTTCTTGATTTTTGTTAATTATCTGCCTTTCTGCTGTGAGGACGCTAAGTTTGTGCTGTTTGCGGATGACACAATTGTTGCGGTGACTGGGAAGACGGAACGGGAGGCTAAGGACAAACTATCTAGGGGGCGTGAAGCGGTAGAGGCATGGTTCCTCTCGAATCGCCTGTTGCTTAATGCTGACAAGACCCAACACATGACGTTCACCTTGAGAGATATCAGCGGCGGTTGTGATCTGGGATCGGTTAAGTTTCTTGGTGTCTACCTGGACTCCAGATTGATCTGGCAACCCCACATAGAGGCGGTGTGTGCGGGGTTTTTGTCTTGAGAAATCTGGTGGGCTGTCTGTCAAAGGAATCACTTTGAACTGCCTATTTTGCTGTGTTTAACAGCAAAATGATGTATGGAATATTGGCTTGGGGAGCCTCGGCATACTATGCTAGGGTCTTTGGCCTACAGAGGAGGGCTATGAGAATACAGGACGGACTGTAGGGCTGCGTTCGCTGAGTGGGGGGTATTGTCATTTCCCTCTGTGTATGTTCTTGAGAATCTGTTGCATGTCAGGGGTAACCTGGCCAAATATAGAGCTCATGAAGACCTCCATGACTACAGTACCAGACTTAAAGGTAACTTGGTATCGTCTTATTGCAGGCTTAAAAGGTGCCAATGTAGTCCTGACTTTATTGTGTGAAGCTTTTCAATAAGATCCCACATGAGACAAGAGAACTTCCGATACAAAAGTTTAAAAAAGCTCTCAAAAGCTTCTTACTACAAAAAGCATTTTACAGCGTGAAAGAATTCCTTGATCTTGATGTTTTAGTATTTTAGTGTTATACGTTATTTTAACTGTTACGGTAGGATATTTTAAATGTAGTGTTTTTTAACATTGTTTTTCACTCGGTTTTTTATTAAGTAGTATTAAGTTCTTTGAAATTAGAAATAACAGGCACTTTGTAGTGTTAGTTATTGTATTATTTACTTGACATATGTAGGTAAGTGCAATTTGCATAATTTAGCATGAATAAACTTGATTTGATTTGAACCCAATCTTCGTCAGTCTGAGACATGATCGACTATTCCACTGGCAACCTGCTCCATTATGTAGAGTAGTGTGAGGTTTAGGATGAATTCCAGTGCCGCAGTTGGGCATGATCTCATTGCTCTTGTTATACCTACACGCGATTCTTCTTTTCACTTTTCCTAAGGTTTTCCTAGCTGGGTACGGCTATACCAGGCTAACGCTAATGGCGTTTGCACCGACCATTTTGAGGAAGCCTTAGCAATCATATTCCTTAAAGTGACATTCCTCCATGTAAAAATGTAATTTTTAAGAATACTTATCGCCAAGGCTTCCTCAAAATGGTTTGTGCAAACTGCCATAAGTAAACCAAGCACTTGTTTACATGCGTTATTGGTGTTTGGGACAAATAAAGTCTTGATTTCTTACTACTTATCAGTTTATCAACTGGCCCACCTTGTGTAAGGACACAAATTACCAACTTTAGGTAGGTATTTAAGACCAAAACTTCAGTAATTCGCATTGTTTTTTTGAGTAGATTGCTTAAACAACTCACGTGCATAAAGAAAATAACCAAAATATACCTTCACTCTTTTACTGACAACATAAATAAAATGCAAAATATAAAATAAGTAGGTAGTTTTTTAATTTTTTTAAAATTTTTATAACATTTTCACAATTTTCATACCTTACTATTATAATTCAATACAGTTTTAAAATTTCACAAAAAAAACACAAAAAATCAACCATCTCTTCTACCTTGTCTTAGCATCTACATAAATTTTATCAACACACATTCGTTTTTTTTTTGTCACTTTCTCATATATTTTATTTATTTTTTTTTCGTTTCATACAATTTCCATAAATAATAAATACACTCTTCTACAAAAAAAAAAAAAAAATCTTCCATAATTATTTTTTCACTAACATCTAATCGTGCATCATACATTACCATTACATTATTTTTTTTATTTTTCACAGTTGCTTACACATTTAATTAATCAGATAAGCCACAAAGTCATACAAGTGTTTTTTTACAAAGTGTTTCAATTAAAGAAAAATTAATGAAACACTTTGTATGATTTTTTTATTTATTTTTTTTTATTTAAAATTTGTTATTTTTATGCTATGGCGTTTTCTAAAGCCTAGAATAATTATTATTGGTGATTGAGAAAAACGTGTTTTTATATTTTAGCAACACTTATTTAGTTGTTTATTAGTGTTGTCCAATTTTATTTATTTTTTGAGTCTGAGAAGGAGAATATTTGGTTTGAGATGGTCTTAAAAAATGTATCCCCAATTTTTGAAATTTTTTGAAGTTTTTGGCATATTTTTACCATCAAACCAAATAATTCCAATCTATAAATACAAAATTTAGTCACAAAAAGAATCTTAAATTTCACAAACAAAAATTGTCACCGATTATTACAAATTTAATTCCTAATAATTAGAGTGAATTTTTTTTTTTGGTTGCTTATTAAAAAAGTAACTAGAAACTCTAAATTCTTGGTCACTTTTTTAATAACATAATTATATTAAAATTATGAGAGATATCACTAAATCACTATTTCTTTTAGTTGCCCACTATATTTTAACATTTAAATAAAATAATAAATAAATCAATTTTGAGAACAAATAGGCAACAAATTTAATACTCTATGAATCATTTTATTTGAAAACATCTATTTAAATTTTTATTGTTAGAAAAATATGTTTCTTACATTTTTATCACAGATTGTTCCAATAATATTTTTGAATAAAAAAAAATGGCATTAACTATCATATTAATTTTATTTCGTGATTCAAAAAATAGGTAATACATAATAATAAAGTAAAAAGATATTTTCAAATAAATGAGAAAAAAATTATACGAAACTGCTTAATAATAATTTATAATAAACATATATTTTGCAAAAATAATAATAATAAAAAATATATTATACTTTTTTTTTTGTCATCTATATTTACAAATAAATTAATCACATTACTTTTTAAATAATTTACATTTACGACTTAAAACTGACCGATAATAATAATAATTATTAAATCAATGCCCGGTAAATAATACGTAATGTGATTCAATAATAAATTGGATATTTAAATAATTAATTATTTATTTGAAAAAAAAACTATATAACTCGTATATTTGGAACGTAGGGTATAATAAACAAAATAAACATAAATAAATTAAAATTGCCGCAACATTCTGGTGGTCTGTTCCAGAAATAGTTAACTGGAACATACCAATTAAATATAATAAAATCGAAAGCATGCACAATTTTTTTTTATAGTTTAATGAACACTCTGTGGTGCTTTTTAATTTTTTTTTGTCATTAGCCTAAATCCTAAGCGGGCGTTTATTTTTAATTTATATTTCTTCCCGCGTCAAAAAATGGTCAGTTTCTTCGAAGAAACTGGCCATGAAAAATCATTCACATTTGGTTTTCAGCTGGAGTTTGGAAAATCCGAATGGTAATGATTTGAAAATAGATATAAGCCTACATAGAAATTTTTATTATAGTCCTTAGAAAGGCAAAAAAAAAATGTCTAATTTGACTGAGTTAAGAATACATTTCAATGCAATAATTGTAGATGGTAAGTGTTGACATTATTTTTGAGACTTATTTTTAAACAGGTACTTTTTTGGGAATCAACACTTTTTTGTGAATTCTTAACATAGTCTGATTTTCTGACAACAATAATTTTGAACGTTGCGGACTAAAGTTTTATATTAATGGAATTTTCAAGCTATTCTGATAAGAAAGACAATGAACATTTTAAAAAGGGAAAAATCCATTATTACACAAAATATCTAGAAAACTCCTTATATGTAATCTATATTTTTCTAGACATGTAGGTAGATATAAACCGAACGAAATAAATCTAAACTCTATTAGGTACCTACAACCTACTATACTAGTTAAATTTTCAATCAATTGTATGCAATGAAATAAATTTTTTGTGTGTGTGAGATCATTAATCGCAAAATACCGCCCCATTTAGCATTTGCGATTGTTGTTGGCGTGAGAACGGTTGGCGCCCTGGCTGCGTTCTTTGCGGCGCGGGTTCCAGTTGCGCCCGTTTACGTCACGAGCCTTGTTGGCGCGGTTCAGGTACCCGCGTGCCGCTTGTTGGCCCATCTTTTTTATTTGCACCTGAAAAAAAAATTATCACCATAAGTAGGTTTCTTCAGGTTCTAGAACTGTCTAGAGTATTAGCAGTTAAAAAACAGCACATTCGGGTTTCGTTAAACTATTTTTTTTTTATACAAGGGTTTGGGAAATAGGAATTTGACGAGTTGAATTCAGAACTGTTTTCAGACAATTTTAGGAGCTATCAAACCAGTTTCTAGTCTTGAACAGTTCTAGAGTATACCCACGTCCAATGCCCAGGTTACGGATGGTCTAAGAATTACATATTCTAGAAAGTTCCTGAAATAAGAATCTAGTGATATGCATCAGCTGCGTTCACAGAGATAATTTGAGGTAGAAATAGATCAGATTTGGATTGAAATGGAAATAGAAGTGATGCCGAAATCCGAAAAAATGGATGGTGCAAAACTGGCTCATAAATATCGATGTCGGCAGAATATCCGAGGCATTTACGAAGATTGCAAAAATGAAAACGAGTTCTATCTGTTAAGGTAGATCCAATGTATGTAGTAGAAATGAAGAATACTGTAACTGTGGTGAATTTTGTATATCAGTTAAATCCACGTGGGAATAAGGCTGGATTTTGTAGTGTCTAGGTTTTGTAATAGTCTATGGTTTTTAGTTAAACTTCGATTTCATAGAATTGAAGGATATCAGCTAACAGAAGACTGTAATTTAGAATTTTAATGGTTATGTTATGTTATGTCATTTGCTCCAGACTCCAGACATATGTATTTTCATCTTTAAAATATAATAAAACAAGCTTCCTTAGAAAACAGTGCTATATGTTAATCAACACCTCAGTAAGCCTAAAGTAGATCAAACATTACATTAGCGACGAGTCAACGAATACCTACCCACAACAACGTTATTCCCATCGGCAAACAAAAACAGAAAAACATTGAACATTGAAGCATGACAGCAGAGAACATATTTGCGAATATTGAGCATTTTAACATTCAGTGGCATGGAAAATATAGGCTCCAGATAGCAAAAGTGTATGTATAGCCAAATAGAAGTTCCAACAACAAAGTCAAAGTAACAACAGAACATCACATGTAAACACATACAATCATTCACAAGTAGAGCCATCCACATCACGCAATAGTCAACACGACAATAAAAATCACAGGAATTATAACAATAATCAAAACAACAACAGAGAGCATGTTAATTTCAATGCCCCTGAAAAAGACACTGATGAAAGAAGTTCAAATCACTCATTCTACATAACAGTTAATAACATTGGATATATGTACCTGTAGTCAATATCAATATAGATAATCAATCTTTAGAATTTCTAATAGATACTGGAGCATCAGTCAACTTGATAAGCAGAGCAACATTTTTAACACTACCAATCAAACATGACTTGATCAAAGATTCAACCAACATATTTTCGTACTGTGCTTAACAAAAACTAGAAGTTCTCGGAAAATTTGGAACACAATTGTCGCACAAAAATAACACAATCACTTCTAAGTTTCAATACCTCCTTGCAACTCAAATTAATACACATGACAAACAGTGTTTCTACAAAAATTAACCAAGATTATGTCAAGAACAATTATCCAGAGATATGCATAGGTATAGGAAATTTTTCAAACTTTGAAGTCCATCTTCACATGGACAAAAATGTTATACCAATAGCGCAAAAACACAGGCGAATTCCATATCACCTCAGGGAAAAAGTAGAAGCAGAAATTATTCGCTTGGAACAAGCAGACATCATTGAAAAAGCAGAAGGCCCTACGCCCTGGGTATCTCCAATTCTCATCGTACCGAAACACAACAAAGACTTAATTCGAATTTGTGTTGACATGAGGTTAGCTAACAGAGCAATAGTACGTGAAAGACACCTATAACACTCACTATCAGTGACGTCATTACCCAGCTTAATGGTGCAACACAATTTAGCCTAATCGACCTAAAGGATGAATATCATCAGCTGACTATAAACAAAGATAAGATACATAACAACATTTTCAACGCACGTAGGTCCCTACAAATATAAACGTTTAGGTTTTGGCATAAATGCTGCTGCGGAAATATTCCAAAATGCAATTAGACAGACGATATTTTAGTATTTGGCAATATTGTAGTGTAGATCACAACCAGTATCTAGAAGCTGTGTCACAGAAATTGAAAGAATGCTACAATTAATAAATCAAAATGTGTATTTAGTGTAACGAAGATAATATTCTTTGAATACATATTTTCACAAGATGGAGTCCAACCAGATCCGGATAGAATAAAATGCATTGTAGATTTAAAACCACCAGAGAGACAACAGAAGTACGAAGCCTTTTGGGTATGATAAACTATATGGCATTTTTTACCAAACCTAGCTAATAACACCAAAATCCTCAGAAATCTAACACTGAAAGATTCCATTTGGCAATGGACACCAGAACATGATCAAACACTCAAATTTTTGAAAGAACAATTGATGAAGGCGACAACATTATCCTATTATGATGTCAATAAACCAACAAATTTGATAGTAGATGCTGGACCTGAAGGTGCATGTAGGCTCGATTCTCACCCAAGATCGCATATGCTAGCAGAACTTTTTCTAGTGTAGAAAAACCATACAATCAAATAGAAAAAGAAACAGTAGTATATAGGTGGTCCATACAACATTTCCATATCTACCTTTATGGAACAACATTTACTTTACATACTGATCATCTTGCTCTTGTCAGAATCTTAGAAAACAACAGATCTTTTCCCAGTGCTCGAATAGAGAGACTACTAATTCTGCCCTATCAATTCAAAGTCGTTCATCAAGATGGCAAGTCCAATCTATCAGATTATTTGTCAAGACATCACATACTTAATTCAGCTCACGAAGATACCAAAATAGAAACAAATGTAAATTTTATCCTACAGTACGTCTTCATTATTTAAAGCTATGGTAATTGAACAAGTGCAACAAGCTACTAAACATTATAAAGTAGGTACTCAGTTTTCTCATTGACACAATAAAACATAGGAGAAACAACTGGAAAAATTCTGAATTATCACCATTCTGCAAAATAAAATATGAACTTACTGTGACAGATAACATAATACTACGAGGTACTCGAATAATTTTACCAGCATCCTTACAAACTCCTGCAATACAACTAGCACATAAAGGTCATTTAGGGATTGTCAAGACGAAGCAAATACTTCACTCAAAAGTATGGTTCCCAAATATTGACAGGCTAACAGAAACATTAGTTGTGCAGCGTGTCATGTAGTTACAAACGCTAGGATCAGAGATCCTATAATATCAACAGCATTACCTGATCAACCGTTTCAGCAACTTGACATAGATTTCGCTGGACTTTTCCCCAACAAAAAATATGTCTTCATATTAGTAGATGATCATTCAAGGTACCCAAGATACAAGCTTCGACAATCTGAGAAAGCAATATACTTGAGAAAATATTTTCGACATTTGGAATTCCGAAGTCCATAAAGTCAGATAATGGTCCACCTTTTTGTGGCAGTGAATTTAAAACATTTTTATCTGATCTTGGTATAAAACACTTAAAAATCACTCCATATTTGCCAGAGCCGAACGTAATGGCAGAGAGGTTTGTGAAGTCCTTCAAAAAGTCTTTAACTTGTGCACAGTTGATTCTCAAATCAATCAATTTTTGTTCAACTATAGAAGTACTCCGCATTTCACCACAGAGAAACACTTATTTGAACTGGTTTACAACAGAGAAATCAACAACTTATTACCGATGTACAAACAGCAAGAAAGACATAGAGAACAATATGAAGACAACAAAAATTGATAAGAAAAACAAAAGAAACCAAAAGGAATATGCAGATCAACAGAGACATACAAGAATACACAACTTTCATATCTATGATCTAGTTTTATGCGTATGTAAACAATTGAAGACAAACTGCCTATCTCCGTTTTTTGACCCAAAATCTTACAAATAACTCAAGTTAATGGAACTCAAATTTTGGCAGAGAGTAGGAGAATATATCAAAAGAAATGCATCGTTTTTCAAAATATTCAATCCTAGTATTCCTAGTCAGTCAAGTCCTCAAACATCCGCCAAACACTCCCAAACAAAATGCGTTTACTCCTCCTATCATTCGCATCATCCCACCGTCATCAAACAGTATTCTGGAAGATTGGTCCTAAAGAGGAGCAAGCTACTAGACTTGAAGCCAGTTCGCTAACACTACCTACTAGTGAAGATACAAATATGCATGAATCTCAAGAAGTCCTCTCAGATGACGATATCTCGTTCAGCACAGCACCTGAAGCACCTACAACAGATACAGCCTTTCAGTTAGTGACTTAACTGAATGTGATAACTTCAAAAAGGACATTTTGAACAACCCTGACATTCAAGAATTTCGACAACATGCGTCCATCAAGAGTTTTGAGAAGAAAAACCTATTTGAAATACTGTCATAGGTATAGGTACCAGTTATTCTGATTCATTAAGGTCCAGTTGTACAATCTTGGTTCCAAACAGAGTTCAGCTGAACTCGACTGCTATAGTCCAACAAATACCATTTTAAAGTCACGTGATTTTTCTCTATCCTTGTTGAATACATCTCAAACAGCGGTGATAGTAAAATTGACAAAAAAATTACTGTCTAACTATTGTTCATAATATTCTTACCTGAAATAGAATCCGTCACTGTCATCCATTAGTTTGTCAAAGTTATTTTCGAAAATAATACAACGAACAAACACAGCTAATAATTTTGACTATATTAACCTTTTTCCAACTCGAAAAGAAGCAAATAGAGAACGGGTACCCAGTTTAAGTTCAGAATGTATTACAACAGACAGCAGAAGCGACAAAAGTGAGTCTCGCAACAATTGCAAGTATTAAAATTGCCCTCTGATTGGTCAATACTACTTTAGAAACGCGTTTGTAAAATGCTAGTGGGAACATATATTAAAATTCAATAGTAATTAACCACCAGTAGCTTTTTGTAGGTGATATCAACGACATAATCAATGGACATACGTTTTTTGCCACCAGTATCACGTGACTTTAAAATGGTATTTGTCGGACTATAGTTGAACTTCCCCATTTGAAACGCATTGCTGTCATAATTGATAGAATTTGATTAATAGCTGACAGCAATGTATTTTAAATGGGAAAGCTCAAGTACCAGTCGAGTTCAGTTGGTGGTTGAACTTTGTTTTGAAGTGACTACTCAGGTATGCACCCTAAGCAATTTTTTCATTATTCTGGTGTAAAATGGATTTAGAAGACGAAATATTTATAGATGATGATCTAGATATCCTCCATATTATAAACTTTGGGTTTTCTCGCAGAGTCTATAGTCTACGAAAAATATGGACAATAATTAGCACTCGTTTTTTTTGGAGATTTCGACTTACGAAACCTACAGATCCCAAATTCCTGGAGAATATAGAAGAAATAAAATTCCAAAATGATTTGTTACTTGATAGAAAGAAGAAAATATGTCTTTCTGTTAATAAGTTGGCACCTCATGCACCTTCTTCAAATCCAACTTATGCGGGTAGTGGTATAACTACAGATAATAGTTTGTAAGTATCTAGCGTTTCTAACTGCTCGACGGTCCTATGGCAGAGTATAGGTGCAGTGCTGTTGAATTCTCCCGTAAATCAGTTCTAAGCTCAAAAGTTTATTAAACATTACAGATTTGAGATACTATTGTTTATTAGAGAAATATGTTACGGAAAGAGGTAATTAGAGAGGATGTGAAGCCTGAAGGAAAGACAATAATGAACGCGTGTTGTCTTCCTACGAAATCAAAATGATTATAAGGTGAGGCAGAAATGAGCAAAGTCGTAAAGGAAATGAAAGTAGTTCTTATGCATTGTTTTTTATTTTATTTAATTTTTTTCGCAGTGTTAGGTCATCTCTCCATCCCAAAACAACCACAGTGGGTAAAAAAAATACAAAAGAGTAGAGAATTAAATTTAACCAAGAGGCTCACCAAACAATTGGTAGCGTGTTCCAACCCAGCAGGAAACCGTAATATTACCGTCAGGATTCTGCGCAAAACCTAAAATTTTTGCGTAGAAACCGAAACTTGTATACAGAGTGGTTCCGAAACCGTTCTGGGACAGTTTTTTGGCGGGTTGGAATAAACCTATTGTAGACGGCCAAGGAAATTAAATTAAATTAGAGTGTTCAAAGTGGTGGCCTCGTCATCGCCAACAGCCTAATAGACAAAATGGAGCTGAGGCGGAACGCAGAAGTACCTGCCCTGCATTTGGAAAGATATTGCTTTATTCAACAAGAACCTCATTTAGGGTTATTAAGAACTTAAAAGTTGCTTAGGTACCCAAAAGAGTTTATTGATAATGTCAGTCAACATGAATCGGAAACATGAAGAATAAATTCTGCAATATCTGATGAAAATACCTACATAGTTCTATTATTATAGGAATATTTGATCACTCAACGGAACAGTTTATAACGCATCTAATCTGAACAAACCCTGGAAATTTCAACTCACCAAACCGTTGGTTGGCCCTTACTACAGAAAAGGGTTGGACCGTATCCAGAGAAAGATAGCTGAAATACCTGTAGAGCTGAGAGATGACCTTCATACTGAGAGGTCGTACGAACTGATACTCACTACCAATGGGAGGTTTAATGTTTAATGTTTTAAGTTTATAAATAAGCAACTTCGTGGCCACTTGAAAAAGCTGGGGACAATAAACTAGCAAGGGAAAAAACTTGATGAATAGAGTTGTTGGTGAATAGAACTTTTCCTGAATTCCTTCAAATATCGGATTAACTGTTCAAGTTTTTCAATGATGCCCAACAAACCCAACTTGGTGCAATAAACTCTTTTCGGTCTTTCCCCAACACGATGTTTGTTTCTGAAAACTCAAGACTACTGCACTAATTTTCCAATAAAAAAAGTGTTGGATATTCGTGACAGAAATTATTTTTTACCTTTTGAGCTTGACGATGCCTCACCATCTGCATCTCATTGAGTTGCAACGGCCCATTGCAACGATGAGGGGCATTGCGCATACGATAAACAACCATGTCGGCCCCTACAACCGCTTCTAGGATTTCCTCTTCGACCTCAACTTCTTCTTGGGGCCCTTCGGAAGGCGTTGGGGAGCCCAACAAGGGATGACGGCTTCCGTTGCGCTGGTAAACGCTCATCGACGGATGTTCGATCAGCAGGTTCTCTAGAGGTGAGGTTCGGAGCTGAACTGGTCCTAGAATTTTAATAGATTTTATTTATTTATTGACGGGAAATCGGTTCCATAATAGCATATAGAACATCTATATACAATAATAATTGGACATTTAGATAACAAATTGGTTGACAACAAGAATTAATATAGAAAAACAAAAGACTACTCAACAACATGACAAGATGGCGAACCTTACAATGAATGAGTACTGAAAAAGTCCAGGGTATTGAACTCATTAGAGATTCGGAAAGCTCTGGAGATAAAAGTATTCAAACCATAGTTAGTCCGGTGGATCTTTTCTGAGAAGGTAGTGGAAGAGCGTGTAGTTCTTACTGGGGCATGAACAGTGCCGGCCCCTGCCTACTTTCAGGATGGACCGAGATCCGACTTTGGCGCCCCTAATTTAAATGTGAATCTTCTGCACATGGATTTTGACCATTGTAATACCTATGTCTCTATCTATCTTATCAAACTTGAAAACATCCATGTTCCTTGGTATAGATAAAACCAACTAAGAATGACGCGTGATCTTTTGTCTCACTTCAAATGAGGGGGCCTTTAGAAAATTTGCCTTCTTCGTCAGTAATGACGTCAGGGGTTCTTCTTAGTTGGTTCTAACTATACCGTCTATATCTACTCTTTTCCCTTTAAGAGTTGATTTAACGTAGGCAAACAAATAATGGAGATTTCTACGTTTACCGATTTATTATAATATCTACTTTCCAAAGAGATCAGCTGTCACCACTTCAATAATTAAGTAGGGAGCTCCTCCTTGTTTACTAACACTTGGTTCGCATTTTTTTATGAGATCGCAATCAATAATCAACTTTGGTAATATCACTTATTATTATTAACATTATTAACATTCAGGCCTGATTTATTCATCTTGACATAAACTTGCTGTTAACTTATCTGCAAGATAAATGTTTCGACCTATAATCTATTGATCGGCGAATCACTAGTCGAGTAATGGAATTGCAGATAGGGTTTTTATCCGTCAGATTGCATTAGGTACCTGACAGTTTTTTTAGAAGGTTAATAAACCGGCTCTTATAAATATAAAAATCGAACCAGTAAAATACAAAATTGTAAGTGAATCGCTGTTTGCGCATTTGTGCATTTGCAAATTTGTTTATAATCCCCTCATATGAGAATTCTGAGCTATATATATGAGTTTCAATGGACAGCAGGGCTAGATCAGAAAGTATGTTTTTTGCTAGAATTCACTTAAGGTACGTTTTAGTTATTTTAAGTTTGACTGGTAAGCTTACTTAAGCTCCGTTCACCTTTCGCTGTCTAGATATTAGGAAACGTATATTGCCAATTATTCAATGCTAAGTTCTGGAGTACTACTTTTGGGTTATATTATTTTTATTTATTTTTTCAGGGCCGGTTTATTCATTTTTTTATAAACTGTCAGGTAATGCAATCTGACGGACAAAAACGCAATCTGCAATCCTATTGGTCCCGCGTTATCCGTATGGACCAATAGAATTATAGATCGGTGAATTTATCTTGTAGACAATTAACAGCAAATTTTCTTCTTGGAAATCAATAAACCGGGCCTTAAAAGTTCTAATCCCGAAATATTGTGATTATGATCATTGATCATGTAGGGGCGACGCCAAGCACGCGACTTCTGCGCGTCAGAGAACAACGTCGCGACAGGTTATTCATGTGGGATTCACATACTAACTATTGTTCGTCGATTTTAATCTGATACTCGGACGGAATGTGAGCTGGTGGCTCCCTACATTAGAATGCCAATATTCACCTGAGGTCACACCTGTTTTTGCCATATGAAACACCCTCTCGCACCTCATACCGCAAGTATCAGTTAAAAATCGACGAACAATACAGGCTTGCTCGCAAGCAGAATAGCAGATAGCAGAATATCGAAAAGCGAAGACACAGGATTCAAAGCAAAAATATATTTTTCTCTTTTTTTTATCACCAATAAGGAACGAATTGTAGGCGCCCCCCGAGGTCTGGCGCCTGGAGCGCTCGCTCCGTTCGCCTTATGGTAGGGCCGGCCCTGGGCATGAAGGCCAACTCTGGATAGTAGGTACATGGAATCGTTGTGAGTTTAGTATTTTGAAAAATGTTGATAAATCACTTTGATTTCGTCTGGGTTGCAGGTTGAACCGTCCGTAGAGGTCATCATAGTTGTAGACATAATTTCCAGGAGGAGGGATACCTGCCTTGAGCGCCAAGTACCGTACAAATTTACGCTGCACCTGCTCCAAGGCGTTGATGCAGACAGAATACTTAGGTGACCAAACCGAGGAGCAGTATTCTAGGATCGGCCTTGTCATTGTGCAACAGAGAAGCCTGATGGAAGAGATGTTAGTGAAGTCCCTTGAACACCTTGTAACAAAGCCCAGCAGTTTCAGAGACCTGGTAGTGATATCCGAAATGTGGGTGGAGAAGCTTAACGTGTTGTCAAAAATGACACCGAGATCACGTTGTTGGAAGTATTGGGACACTGTTTCAAGTGGTTCATTGCTTATGTGGTATACAAATTGTATGAGGCTTTGACTTTTGGAGAAAACGATAGCTTTACATTTAGAGGCATTGAGTTCCATGCCACTTGTGACACACCATTCGGAAAGTCTATCCAAGTCAGATTGTAGTCTGGCACAGTCTTCGTGGGAGGAGACTCGGGCGAATATCTTTAAGTCATCGGCAAAACACAGAAACTCACTAATAATGAAACAAGAACCAATATCGTTGATGAAATATTGAATAGCAGGGGTACCAGGTCAGATCCTCCTGGTACACTTGAAGGGATGTCAATGGGCTGTGAGCAGAAGTTGATGATCTTGACTGTTTGGGTTCTGTTCCTAAGGTAGTCGCTGATCCACGCAAGCACAGTACCAGATATTCCAATTCTCTCAAGCCTCGCAAGTAGGACATTGTGGTTGACACGGTCGAAGGCTTTAGCAAAATCGGTATATATGGAGTGAACAGATTTTGGGTTGAAGTTTCAAGAAAAATTACATTTTGGAATTTTAATAATGATCATTTGCAGTTTTCCCGATAAAAATTTTAAATTGATTATAAATTGTAATCTTTAAGTTTTCATTTTGGCAGCTCGATCAACATGCCATTGTCGACTCTTTTACAGCCAGCTCTTGCTCTATAATAATTGTTATATTTTTAATGTATCAATTGTTCAGGAAACTTTAGTAGACAATCGACAACCTTAACTACATGGTCAATTATTTTGCCATTAGAAAGCTTGGGTTCGATAATAAACAATACCCGTTGTCTGTTCATGTCCCATTATTCTTTTTTTTATTACTGGAGCTAGAATACGTAAGTAGGTACTTAAGTAGCAAAAATTGAAAAAAATGCATAAAAGACAAATAGATAGGTATTGATGTTAGACGCCACCCAATTAGTTTAAATGTTCATTGATGAGAAATAAACAATGGCCAGATGTACTTCTTACCTGTTTGTGAACTGAAACACGGAGGTGGAGTAACAAACCAGCTCTCTTCCATGTCGTGCGCCTGTGCACCCGGATAGATCGAATCGGTGGAATTGGTGCGTTCGAGTCGCACTCGCTCCAGTCCGCTGTTGCTGAACTCGTCCTCGTCGGACGAGTAAGCGTCCGAGTTGCCTTCCGAGTCGCGATCCACCATCGTCCATCCGTCGTCATCGTCAGTCGTACGAAGCACCACCTACAATAAGTAGTTTGTATTAATTTTATGTGTCAAGAAGTATGTAGTTCGAGTCAATGAACTTATTTCCACCAATCAAAATCTTGATGGTTGATAATATGTGCATATATTTACCCTATTGCTACTGTTATCGCTGTTATCAGTGACCCCTCCAGCCGTTTCGGTGGTATTAGTACCCGTAGTGCCGCCTAAAAAGTAACTTGCTAAGTTTTGGAGCATTGTCTGAAAATAGAAGAAAAAAATTATTAAATTAGGTTTACAGGAACTAAGATGTTGGATGACCAGAAAATTATAGATTATCGTCTCAGGTCCTAAAGATGTTTTCTAGTAATATTGATTGTATATATATACACTGAAGCAACAATTTCGATAAAAGTTTCTTTTTTATCAAATAATTCTTCCCCAATCCCTCAACAAAGAACCTCCACAATTTCCTTAATGGAACCAGTCCCAAATTAGAGTTATTAATTGGCATAGCTACTCTAAACAAGGACTAGAAATTATTATCGATATTTAATTTGATTAGAGCCCAAATACGTTATTTATTTCATTTTAATCTAATTAGTATCAATATCACATAAGGTTTATTTTATTGAATAATTTGTGTCAAAACAGGGAAAACTTGTTACCATGAAGAAACATTCTCTATTATTATATGCAGCTGATGCAAATTAATTATTACTAGTTTGACTTAAGATCACAATCTGTGTCAAGATCAAGATCGATCATTGTAATTATCATTTTGCATTCGACGAAAAACAATAATGATTCTTAATGTTGAAGAAATCCTTGAGCAACAATTAATACGTAGCGAATAATAGAAAAGTAGTTTACTGACAATAATTTTTGTTGATGAGATAGGTGATTTTTCTGGAAAGACTACTGAGAAATCGTTTTTAATAAATAAAAAATAAATAAAGAAGAAATTAAAGTCTATAGAAGACTATAAGTATATAAAAAAAGAATGCTCCCAAACCCTTAAAACCCTTTCCAAAAAGCGCTGGGACGATCCGATTGGCTGCTACTTACAAAATACAAAAAAGCTTCGTAAAAAAATTTATAACTAGAACACATTGAATCTAGACCAACTATAACACATATTACAATGTATATAGAATCTGTACTTGTGCATATAAACATATTATAAAAGGATGTTTAATTAGGCGATAATAATAAATTTTTACGACGCTTGTCTTGGGAAAAATATACAACGAACATCTGGAACCATTTACATCAATTAAACTTAAGAATACTAATTTGATTGTTTTTTTTTGGTGCATTTTATGTTAAAGATTTGCCAGTAACAAAAAAAGCAAACTTTGAAAAATTAAAACTTATTATAACAGATACAAGATACATAAAAAAAATACTCTGTCTAATCTCACCCAGGGAACCCTATTACAGTCAAATAGAGTTTTTGGAGTAGGTACCTATACCTATGTTTTTTAAATACCAAATTATGTGTCTCGTTTCTTTTGTAACTGAAGTGTAATTTTATCCCTTTCAATTTGTTTGTGTTATTATTGTTATTTTTTTCTATGTGTTTTTCCTTTCACTTACATTATTTGTTTGTATTACTTTAATAACTTATTATAGTCCGGTTGCCAAAAGCAATACCCTAAAATTTTATATTAAGTTTTTTTAACTTCTGAATATTGACACGAACATACTCGCGGACATATTAAGCTATAATAATGAAATGAATGATGACATTCTGGCAAATCTGGCATCGTACAAACAGAAAAGATTTATGAATCAAATATAATGAAATGTCTAAATTGAAATTAGCATTCAGTCAGATGTCTCTTTGAAAGTACCGTCTTCAATTGGTTCATAGATTGTCTTCATCCTCTTCCACTTCTACTTCCGTAAATCGTATCAAATCATTGGAACAGAAACTATTTTTGCATAAGCAAAATATGGTGCATGGTAGGCTGGCACTCCTGAAACTACATCGATTGCTCTCACATGGCAATACATTTTCACAAGGACACTTAACTAATTTCAGAATTTCCGGCCGCGCAACTTCAATATTCTCTGGCAAAGTTGTAGGCAGCAGGAATCTTGAGTTTTCATTCTTATAGAAGTCATGAAGCAGTGGGTCCATCTCTGGTGGGTCCGATTCCATCGAGTTTTTCCAAATGCAAATTTGTAAGTGAACCTACTCAAGGTTTTCTTCAAACGCTGAATTTGTTGGTGGCAGCGAGCATAGTTTTGGTAATTGGGATGTCGCATTTCCAGCTTTGTCTGCCCACAGTTTAACACGAGCCTCTGAAGTTGTGTTATATTTATTTGCCCCGTAACATGCAGCCATAAATGTATGTGCTTGCCCTTTCATATCACACAGATCAGCGTGTAGACCTACAACCAATGACAAGGAGTGTCGTTTTTTTTTTTTAATTTTCCCAATGCCATAACACATGACAGTGGTATCACAACCAGAAATAGCATGAAGCGCTAGCACATCAGATATTATATTCTCGTGTTTAATAGCAGACGCACCGATGTCAATTCTTGTACGACCCTGCACAGGGGATTCCATTAAAATTGTTGCAGGTATCTTCTTAAGGTTGTAAAAGTACAAAAGCAGCAGAAAAACATCTGTGTTATCTGATATGAAGACAACCTGCTCGGCTCCATCATTAGCAGCTAGAAAAACTTGCTGTACAAGAATCGTATCTGCTTCTTCGTGGGTATTTCTTAGGTCATGCCTTCGTCTCACCTCTTCACGATAAATGTCGTAGGATGCTTCTTCTGGGCCTGTCAAAATAAGCCTGTATTTGCTAGTCTAGCTTTTTTTAAACGATTCATCGCAAATGGTCTAATCAATTGCTTCTTATTTTCATTCGAGCTTAAAATTTCTTTCTTTGAGGGAAGAGGTGTTAGTACGCGAGCTCTGGTTACTCCTGTAGATCTACTTAACCTTATGCAGTCTTTAATACTGTACTCATGGTACCGATCGAAAACAAGGTACACATTTCCATGCTGCAAATGTATGCTTATAGATGCTTTCACTGCCTTTATGAAGTCATCTATACAGTCCCCTTTTCTGGCCACATTTATATACCATAGGAGTGCAGACTCACTGCAGACCCATCAATAACGATAACTGTGTTCTCAACACAATTATTTCTTGTTGAGCAAGAAACCTGAAGGTGTCTCTTTAAATTCGATTTAAATTTGAAGATCCTCATATCTCCAGAATCTGTAATCATTGAGGTAGGTACAGGTGAAAGTTCATGGGAGAGAATTTTACTGATATCTATTTCTTGTGAGTTTGCCTGAAGTCCTATAACTCGGAAGTAAATGATACCAGTATCGAACACCTTCACACTGCCAACTTTTACGTGTTTCTTTGCTGTACATTACAACTAATCTGGGTATAGTCAAATCAAAACTCGATGGCAAAAATTCTTCAAATTTTTTCGTTTGTTCAGTTCCAATGTTAACAGCGTCGTGTACCTACATTAATAGTATTTGGTAACACAACGCCCGATTCAGGGTTGGATGAACCCACCGGGATACCGGGAAATTCCCGGTGGGCCGATCACAATGTGGGCCGATCTTTAGAACAACAGAACCTTTATCAAGATATCTTTAAACGGACGATCTCCATAAGGTCTGTTCTTACAGAAATCACGAACCCAGTCAGAGCGTTTTTGATTGGTGCAAATCGCCAACAAACAGTTTTCTGACTATTTTCAACCAATGAAATTTGACTGGTTTGTGATTTCTTTGAGAACAGACCTTATGAAAGCACAAAGAATTAATGGCCAATTCAATTCATGACGCACTGAAAAAGGAACAACGCAACATGGAAGAAATATTAGAAAGTGCTAAAAATGTCAAATGGGCAAATACAGTACTGAAAGCAAATGAAAGAAAGAAGTAACAGGGGAGGAAGCAGGGATGATACTCCTCCAGCTCTTGCTATTTGTTAATTTCAGGTGTAAATACGCGATGTGGCTAATGATCACATCATAATAAAAATAGAGGCATCTTATTCAAGGCATAGAGATAATTGTTTTGTGCTAATTTGTCATAATCAATTTTTCCGAAGTAATGCCAGACGATGCTTCAAATAAAATAAGGTAGGTGACTTGAAAAAACTGTGCTTGAAAAGGTCGGAGTACTGTATGACCTCCCTGAATTTAATGATGAAGATGAAGATGATAATATAGGAAATGAATTAAAATTTTTAAATGATTTAAGTTGTATGATCTCCCTGAATCAAACGATGAAGATGAAGATGAAGATGATGTAAATGACAGAGGATTAGATACAGGGCATGGAATAGAGTATTCTTCACATTTACGCTGCAAACAATGATTGGTTTTGTATAAGTAAACATACAGATTTTACATCCGTGCTTACACACATCAGACATCTTTAGGGCATACCAGTATGTCCTCACTTCAGCGTGCACATAAGTAGGGTGCGAAAAATGCTTTTCAGTTTTCAACACTTTAATGCATAAAAAACCAATCAAGGAATCGACTTACAATGGAAAATTTGGATGCGTCGATGATAATGAACTTAAATATTATTAGATCACATCTAGGGATGATGATGTATGGGCCGCTAGACTGAAATTTCCCGGCCCACTTCCAAAAGTTCGTCCAACCTTGCGCCCGATGCTATGTTTACTATATTGTCTGAGTGGGTACCATGAGCCATGGTCAATAAGGAGCCCTAACTTATTTTTAATTCCATTTCTGTCTTTTGCATCTGAAGCAATTCTAGACTACATTTCTTCTTTGAGCATCTTTTGTACCATATTATTTTTTGCTTCACTTAAATTTTCTATATCCTGCTCTAGTTGTGAACATATGTGCAAGCTAAAGGCAGTGGCGGTTCGCCCATATGGGCAAGGTGGGCACCGCCACCCTGGAGAAAAAATGGAAAAATAAATAACACTTTAGATAAAATATTTGAAAAGGCCGCGACCTTGAAAATTTAGAAAAAATCTGCCTACCGCTGTTTTTTATTTTTGTCGCCCACCCTTACTTAGACACCACGAGTCGCCACTGGCTAAAGGCTCAGGTTTTCAAGGTTTGCGGTCTTAGAGTAATACCTCTATTATTCCACTTTCACTATGTGGCCGAATCTCATGAATATTGTGTCTATCCACATATCGCTCCATATACTATTCCACAAACCAGGATTATGACGCATAGCATGATTGCCATCAACGAAATGCTTTAAGGTAGATGCAGGTAGTCTTTCAGCAGATTTGAGATAGGAAAGACCGTAACGAGCATAATTAGTGTGTGCAGCTGCGAAAAATTAAGGCATCATTTGTTTCACTGTTTCTATGTATAATGGCCAATCTCCCTTTCTTTAAGCCCTCAAATATTTCATCATTGAGAAGACTGGCTTTATCAGTACATCAACCCATAGCTTAGCTGTCTTGCTTTGTCTACCTAATTGGTCAAGTTTGAATAGCAGGTCTGCAAAGTCTGTTGTATGTGTAATCTCAAATACACTTCTCAATACCTCCTCAGCAACCAGTCGTAATGCTCGCACATTTTGCGGAAATTTTTTTCCTGTGAGCATTTTTTTAACTCCCCCAAAAACGCCGTCCATCACTTCTTCCAAACCACTGTTAGACATAAGTGTTTCAATTGAACCAACAAAACACATCAAGAGATGCATACCTACTACCTAGCCGTATTACAACATTGCTGAGTTTATCACGATAAACCCATTGAATGTGAAGTGCAATTTTATACAATTGCTGATCGCACGTAGAAACTGCTATTTCCTGACCAGCCTGTGCTGTTAAATACTGAGCTTCAACCAAAGCAGTCATTATAGTATCAGCATACTGATGGTGTCATGTCAATCAATGGCCTGTACACTGCGGTTGTCGCAGATTTCAGCTGGCAGCCACTTTCACGGATAACTTTTCTATTATAACCATCTTTTGGTCATTAATAATGTTATTTAAAAACTTAAAATCTATCTCTTCTGTTTTTTAAATTGATAGAACAGTACGACACCAAACTTTTAAAGACAAAGGTGATCTCAATGCTGAATTATTCGGCATGAGTGGCTTTTCTTTTCCATTGTTCCTCACTATTGGTGTCTCCATGATCTATGTTACGTTGCATATTATTCTTCTTCAATCTTCTGATGGTACACTGAGTAGTGCTTGAACTACGACAGTTTTCACTTTCTGGTTTCGTTTGTGAAACTAGAACAGCTAGTGAATGTGTACTCATTTTTCTATTTTGCGAAGATATCACAGTATCAAAGTTGCCTACAACAATCTGAGTGAAGGTTTTGTTAGATCTATTATTAACTAAAATCCCTGACAGATCACATTACTTTGAAACCTCATGTACAGCTCAAGTCTTAAAGCATAAAACTTCATCATAAGTACATGATATTATATGGAACTTATTTGATAAATTGACCACTTCTTTTGAATAGTGAAACTTTATACCTAAAGCAATCTGAAGATCTGTAAATGCGTATAAGATAGGGTTGCTGACACTATACTTCCTATAAACAAAGCTGGTGGAGTCTTATCCAGTTTTGTTGATAGTGCTCCACACAAGTGCATTAGGGTCTTGCTAGTTTGTTATACAACGTTGTTATAACTAACGTGTTATAATTTTCTTTATTATTATTTTTGCTCCTAGAATTTCACCTTTTATTTGTTTTGCCACTTTAAAAATAGCAGCATTTGGTTCATCATCACCGTCATCAGGACATAATCTCAACATTGATGGTGCTTTGTTTGGAAAAGTGATGATGTGAGCATAACCTGGCGCAGACAGCACAACTGGATCACGAAATTGCTCTTGTAGAGCTTTTATCAAATTTGATCTGCTAAGTTTACATCCACCATTATCAGTGTATAGTTTGTGTACTTCTACAGAGTTCCAAATAGGTTCTTTATCTGCTGAAAATGCTCTTTCATTTTCAATGAATATTATATCTGCTCCTGCAGCTTCTTTTTCTTGACCCTTCCATTTAGCATCTTCAATATTTTTAGTACTCATGAATTTATTTCGGCAATTCACATGGTACTTTGCGTCAGCAGCGTTTAAGTCACTAACCATGCCAGATAACCGGAGTCGAACTTCGGCGGCCCAGCTATCGTTTCTAGTAACACATGTCTCAATAAGTAATTCTTTCACCGACTTGTTTTTTGTTTCTAAATGACGAAACTGATATGCGGGCCTCTATCTTTCAGGGTGTCTCGAATTCTTCTCCAAATAACAATTTTCTGCACAGAAAATGTCTGGAATTCAAACGCTATTGTTTCAGACCTGCGTTGTTTTTTGCATGGGAGGAGCTTGCTTCTGAACCAGCTGATCTAGTCGACAGCATTGGTCTTTTCAAATGTGTTTTAGATGTGTAAGTTGGAACACAGCTTCTGTGACACTTTATGGTGAAGTCATGATCATCTTGTACTTTCTTCTCCAGTTCCATAAATTTTTTATCACCGTATTGTAAGCATCCGCGGTCGAAAAGGGTTCACTGCGTCCACTGCAGTCGAATTTCTATTCAAAAAAACAAATTTATGTCCGATTGACTAATAAAGTGCTATTTATAGAACAGTTTTGCGTCAATAAAGTAGCACTTTATTGTACTAGTAAAATAAAGTGCTACTTTATTGCCTACCTGGACTACCTGACAAGGTGAAACAGGTCCTGACAACCTGCCAAGTTAAAACAGATCCTGACAACCTGCCAAGGTAAAACAGGTATACCTACGCGAATTTCACTTTTTTCATTAAATTTTTTTAATTTTTAACAAAAACCAATCGTAATCGTACATAAAATCATGTATATAACGCTTACATAAACAGGCTTTATTGACTCATTTATTTAATAGCCTCGCTAGCAAGCTCGCTCGGCCATAAAATTATTCGTACAATAAAGCCTTACTTTATGTACTTGTTATATAAATAGCTATTCTTCTCCCATTGTGGTCGCATTGAATTCTAAAAAAATTATAAAACAACATATACTTTAAGTAAAAGATACTTTCGGAGTTTCATTGTCTTTATTTTTTGTTATTAATAGCGTTTCGATTGCTTCATTATCTACACCTGTCATTTATCTGATAACAATAGGTCTTTTCGGAAACGCTCATCCGAATAGCCCGAACATCAGCTGTTTGTTTTTTATCTTTCTTTAATAAACACGATTGAAAAAAGACAAAGTAGATCAGCTTGTGATCCGATTAATCGGATCAGCCTTTCAGAAAAGGCCTATAATTTTAGATCCTTGACCAATAGAAATGTTATGAAACACAAAGAATAAAGACAACCGAAGTCCAAAATTCGCTCTCACTAGAAATGTAAACGTTCCTCAAGAAAAACTTAACAGAAGATAATATGTTTTAAGAAATATTAAATTAAAGTAATTATAGCCACCATATTGGCCGCCATGTTGAATATATCGAGTTGCCCAAAGGTGATGGAATGAGATGTCATCATTCATTTTCTTGCAGCCCAATATGTCCCTTTACTAATTCAGAAATAAAAAAAAAAACTATAATTTTGGGTTTACATAAAATATATGGTTTGGCAACCGGACTATTATAATGTGCTTAGATTTTAAGACTGATGATTCTATTAGAATTGAAATCAGTAACATAATTTTGGAATAAAAATAAGAACATTTTGTCAATAGAGGATAAAATCATTAACTTTCTATTCACCGCAACCAAAGTATATAATAATCGGAACCTATTATTAAATGCATTCACCTACTGACCAATTTAAATTTAAATGACTTTTGATTAATCATAATAGCTTCGTATTAAAATTGACACTATTAAATACAGGACGTCTCAATTTTGGAACGAAATAGGATACACGAGTCCAAAAAAAAAGACCATTAGGTATCCAATTTGGGGGCGATAATTAAATTTTCCTATCTCGGCCAAGTTGTATTTTTATGTTGCACGTTTAATTGAATATTCAAAATGCAAATACTGAAATGCTTATGGACGGTAGCTAACTGTTTTTGGCTCGCGAACAACATAAAACTGTTGTTCTTTTTTTTTTGCTTTCAAGGCTCGTTAATATGCTTCGTTAGTATGTATTACGTATTTTAATGAGTCACTGGTTGTATATTAATTTGATTTGGTTTTTATTTTATTAATTTTTAGGTTGCATGCTAAATGCTTGGAATATGTTATAGTCGGTTAAATAGCATCAAAAAATAATTATTTTTTATCGAGTGATTATTATTTATCTGGTCAAAGTCATTTTAATGGTTTAATTTACAAAAATTTCAATCAAACCCAAACAAAACTGTTTTAGCGTTTATTCACCTCGAATATAATTTGAAATTTCATCAAGATATTGTGCAATAATGACTTAATGATAAGACTTTAGTTTGCTTCCAGCTAAAACAATCCAATTTGTTTCTGTGTTTATACTGTTTATTATCACATAAAATATTTATTTTTTGTGCCCCAGAGAAATATTGATGCAAATTTTAAGCACTTCAATTTAATAGGCAGACCCGACAATCTACTCGATGTTTAGGCGTAGATTCATACAATTTGGCTTATTTTTGGAGCAAATTTGAATAAGAAAATAATCTTATTCCACTTCACTTCAAATACTACAGTCGTTAGTCAACACATATTGTAACGAAATAAACATTGGTGTGGCAAAATCGACGTCATTGTAGACACGAGAGACTCTTCGGCTGATTCATTTTGTATATAAAGCGCGTAGTTTGTAAGTTGCAGTCAGTTTAAATGAAGGAATTGTTCTAAAAAAATTTAATTTTAGGAAATTTAGTATGACAAAACTTGTTGGCAAAGAGACTTTCAATGGATTCGCCGAATTCGTGATAATATTCAACAAAGAAATAATACTAAGGAAGTGAGAAAAATATGCAGCGAAATAAGTAATTTAAAAACAGTCGATGACGTAATCCAACAAAATTGAAATATCTGGCACGCTTTAAAGCGCAGCCAACACGCGATTGAATGGTTCGTGATAAAAAAATAAATTTGAATTTCAAAGCAGATGCAAAAATAAAGAGATAAAAAAAAAATGCAAAATCACCGTTTTTGTTTTGGTTTTGTTTGGAAATAGACTATGACTATGATGTTATTTTATCAAAAAGTAATTATTTGTCTTTATTTAACTAATTAATTTAGGAATATATGTATTTGAGTTTTTGAATTTTTACCTGAAATTTGCACTACACTTTTTACACTCACTTAAGTCTTACTGATTCTTATTTCTTGCTTTATTTTCTACGTACAAGTTTGCCTCTGAACAACATGAAACATGATAAACTACATTATTGGTATCAATACAAAATATTTTCCGTCCTTGTATTTATTATATTTCTAGAAACTAAAATATATTCAATAAACAACAAACAAAATGATAATGCGCAGATTTTGACAATTTTGCGAAGTTCCATTTGACGCAGTTTTAAAATAAATAATCTTTACTTTAATCGTTGTTGGAAAATTACGGAAATGCTGAAAACGGTGCCAAGACACTCGGTGACTGGGAAAAGTTATTTTGAACTATTTAGAAGACATTACATTGATTTTAAGTATAGTTTACATTGGCGATTAAAACTATACTATACTATAAAATGGGTCAGTTAAGTTAGCCCCCCCATAGAAAATTTCTGGATGAAAATTAGGTATACCATAATTTTTGCTCTCATTTTGCTCCAATAATTTCAATTTTTGCTTCATTTCAGTGGAGAGACTATGTGGCCTATTAGGTGGGGGGGGGGCTGAATGAACTCTAGCCCCCCTCAGTAAAAATTCAGGAATTTGATCATGCTTATTTTGTTCTCCGAGTTTTGCTCCATTTTGATCCATAATCGGCGAGTTTTGCTCCATTACCAGGAGTGACCTACAGAGCTCTCATGAATCTCTCCCAGCCCCCCCCGCCCCCCCAGTGAAAATGTTGAAATTTGATTATGCTCATTTTGTTCTCCGAGTTTTGCTCCATAATCGGCGAGTTTTGCTCTATTACCAGGAGAGACCTACAGAGCTCCCAAAAATCTCTCCTAGCCCCCCCTCCACCCCCTCCCCACCGGTGAAATTTTTCAAATTTGAACATGTTGATTTTGTTCTTCGAGTTTTGCTCCGTCTTGCTCCATTATCGGCAAGTTTTGCTCCATTACCACGAATGACCTACAGAGATCCAAAGAATCTCTTCTTGCCCCCCAGTGAAAATTTTGAAACTTGAAATTACTCATTGTGTTCTCCGAGTCTTGCTCCATTTTGCACCATGATCAGCTCGTTTTGCTCCATCACGAGCCGTTTTCGGATGCCACGCTTTGAGCGCTCAGCGCTTTCGAGTTAGTCCGAAGTACTCCGGCTACAATTTTACAGATTCGAGCGAACATAGTTTGGCGCTCTCAGGCTGCTCTCACTTTCCTCGCCTGTTTCCCCTGATGCACCTGTAACTGATTTTCAAGCGTTCGAGTGCAAAGCGCATTGAGTATAATGGGCGGGAAATGCTCCGCAAGTGCTTCGCACACTGCACCCGAAAGCGGCTCTGAAATGAACTACACAGCTTCCAGGAATCTCTCCTTGCAACTCGTGTGAAAATTTTGGAGTTTCTATATGCGCATTTTGTTCTCCAAGTTTTGCTCCATTTTGCTCCATGACCGGCGAGTTTTGCTCCATTACCTGGAATGACCTACGAGCTCTTAAGAATCTCTCCTAGCCCCCCCACATCAGTGTAAATTTTGTTTGATTATATTTATTCTGTTCTCCGAGTTTCGCTCCATTTTGCTCCATGATCGGCGAGTTCTGGTTCATTACCTGAGCTGCTTTCAGGTGCCACGCTTTGAGCACTCAGGCGCTCTGAAGCTGCTCTGTAGGTCATTCCTGGTAATGGAGCAAAACTCGCCAATTATTGAGCAAAATGAAGTAAAACTCGGGAGAACAAAATGAGCATGATAAAATTTCTGAATTTTCACTGGAGGTGGGGCTGGGAGAGATTCTTGGGAGCTCTGTAGGTCTCTCCTGGTAATGGAGTAAAATTCGCCGA